CCACCCCAGACAGGGACCCGTGTCCCTCCAGCCTGACCGTGGCTCCCTCCAAGCACTGCCATGCCCATGCTCTCTGCCAGCTGCTGGTTCTCAACCTACTTCCATGTTCCTCTGGTGCCATTTAGCTGAAAATCAAGTCTTCTCTAAGCAGGGAAACTCGGTTTTATAGTGTTGGTGTATGCTGGTTTATGAGATATTCATCTTGGTAAAACATGAACACTGCTAGCTCTCAGGTCTGGGGAAAATCTGAATTCTGCGGCATTAGAGAAAGGTCTTTCTAAAATCTGAGATCATTTAAATTATAAAAGTGGCAGTAGCACATTCAGTGCTGGGGTTTTTGTTGGTTTGGATTAACAGTGCTTTGTTTTCAAAGTCATGCAGAAAAATATTTTGCAAGGGATTTATTTATTTAAATATTTTTAATATCAGCAGTCAAAAATTCAAGTGTAAAAGGCTATGCAAAAACAGCAATAAAGTAATACAAAGCTATAAAAGCTTATGGTGAGAATTTAATGCAGAAACAGCTGTTATTTCCTTGGGAGTTGAGGTATATAAACTCTTTCGTGGCTGCATATCCCCACAATCGTGGTGTGAGGAATTAGCACTCACTGCAGTGTGCAAACGGAGCCCGCCAGGCTCTGAGGCAGCGATTCATCTGTACCCAGGAGCTAAATATGACAATGTTAGCATTTTTCATTTCCCTGACGTTACCATTAATAAAGCAATGATCCAAAAGAAGCTTTGCTGAGTCTGTTCTTTATGCTTCCATCACTCACGACTAGATAATTTCACACAGGATCGTTTTTAAATTAAATGACGATAAAAGCGCTCTGCTGTCCTGTGCTCACTAGTTCATAGAAGTCTATCAAGTCATTAATGTGTCATGACAAACTGCGAGTTGCATACTAGAGTAATTAATTATTTGCATAAATAACAGGTTGAACTTGGTGCTTTGAACCGTAATGACACGTGCATCACATCATGGACATCCTGGAACCTCTGGCAGAGGTCACGGGAGGGTGAGGGCTGACCTGGCACACAGGCGATCCCATCTTCACATGCTTCCAGCGGGCAGGAGCTTGGAAGCTTTTGTGTTCCCAAGTTCTTCATTGATGGCTCCTTCAAGAGAGCATCTGATCTTTGGAGTTTCAGTGAACAATTATACAGATTTTCATAATCACCATTAATCACCACATATTTTTCAAGATAATTACAGCAACTATTATTTAGATTTCTCTTTTATGTGCACATTGTAGAAAAGAACAAGTGCTTATTACGCTGGGTAGAGAACTACAGTCTGAAGTTCTTTGTCATCCAGAAACTCATTATGTTAGCTGATGCTGCCTGTGAAAGTTCGTCAGCATGTTCAAATTAGGGTAGCATTGGCAGGTCTGATTATTTAAATCTGGTAGCTTTGCTAAAAATATAGTTATTCAAGAAAGATGAATTACTAATTTGACAACTGAGATTTAGTTGGAGTCTGCAGCACAGAAGGCAGAATCTCTTGAGTGCTTAGAGGAGGATGACAGTACTTTTTCAGATTAAAGGGAGAATTTCTAAGCGAGCTAACAAGTTGGATTTATAGACCATGCTTTGGTGTCCTCCCTGATAGAGCCTTAGAGCAAGTCTTGGTAAATTACTTAAAGTAGCCACCAGGTAGAAGTTGGTCCTGCACCGCTGAAGGGGCCCTCACTGAGGCATCCATCCACCTCCTGGCTGCTGTGGGGGATTCACGGGAACGCTGTCCTTCGGGGCTGGGCTTTAGGAGTGCGGTTATGGCTGCTGGCACCTTTCAACTCTTAATCGAATTTCAGTGCCTGAGCTTATCAGCTGTGACCCTCAGCGAGAAGCTGATCCTGGGAGGCAGCAAACAGCCATTGGAAAGAGTTTTCCTTCTGAAATCCCATTTTATGTTGTTCCATTTTGAGGGAGAAGAGCGCAGGCACCTCCCTCACCTGTTGCAGGTGCTGTGGGTGTAGTGGCACGGGGAGAACTGCTGGGTTCAGCCCCTGGGTGGGGGGCCCCAGTGGGCAGGCATCCTTCTGGCAGTGAGGCTTTGTGGGGCAAGAGCAGCTTTACCTGCCTGTGCAAGGAGGCTTTAACCTGCAAGGTGCAAACAATTATAATTTTTCTTCAGAAATATTTTAAAGTCACAGCCTTTAAAGATGTTGAAACCTGTGCAGGTCATTGCGGGAGCTGTGCAACTGGGACCTCGCCCACTGTTTTTGTTTGAATCAGCACGGGTACCTTTGGAAAGAGCTGTGCTTTATCATTCACCAGAACCAGTTCCTTTATCCCCTGGTGTTGCCATCTGCTGGTCTCAAACGTGGTGCAGATTGACATGGAGGAGCCTGGAATAGCTTTTGGCCAGACTAAAATAGGAACTGCAGCTCAGGGCCAGGGCCTGGTCTGTTAGTGTGGCACTCCCCATGGAGGTGGTGACACAGGGCAGGATCTCAACACAGTGCTTGCTCATCAGAGCCTGCCAGGAATGCTTTAAAGGCAAGAGGAGGGGGAAAAAAAAAGGAAAAAGGGAGGAATCAGAAGCTGACGATGATGTTTATTTACAGCACAACATCAGGACAAGGGACATGAAATTGAAATGCCCTCCTACAGTTCTGGTTTTATTAAATTTTATTATGAAATTAACTGCTGTAAACAGCAGTTGTGTGCTGCCTCATGGTGTGTGGCAGGAGCAGTGGCCCCAGACCCCGGTGCTGGACACCCCAGTGCTGGATACCCAGTGGGGCTCCAGCGTGGCGATGGGAGCTCTTTCCTGCTGTTGCTGGAGCTGCCTGGCCCTGGAGATCATCATGACCGTCCCTCTCTTGCAAGTCTCCATGAGCTGCTGTGGGAATTGGGCCTCAATTGAAATCCTCATGAATGTGAAAAAAACGTCTTGGACAGCAGCAGCGATGGGTGTCTCGTGCTGTGTGTGGGGCAGCAGGCAGTCCTTCCCCCAGAGCGGTCACTTTGTGCGGGGCCTTTGCTCAGCCTGGGATCAGAGGTGAGGAGGAACACTGCTCCCCAAGCATCTTGGGGGCTCCCCACTGCCTGCCTGCAGCCCCTTGGGTGCCCAAAGGGCTCCAGGAGCCCAGCAGAGCTGTGGGGCGAAGTGGGGCTGTTGCCCTCCTGGCACCGGGGCAGGTAGAGGCAGCAGCCTCTGGGGCCTTGTTTTTGTAAAGTTTCCAGAATTGGTGGTATTTAGACCCTCGTGACTCTGGTGCCTGGCTGTGAAAGGAGCCTGCTGAATGCATGCCTTGTTTTCTGCTTTCTGCCTTTAATGCATTTTAGCAGCAGGCTGGTGACGGGCCTGACACGCCGGCTCCGCGCACGCTCCTGCGCTCGGGGAGTGCAGCATTAATAACACACTTCCATGCATCATGCCATTTTTAAGCATGATCGTTATGATAAAGGGCATATACTTAATTACAGGCCTGCTTAATTACAGCTCTGTTGAAGCTCGTTTGTTTAGGAGAGTGCTAATTGCGCTGCTGAGCCTTTGGCTCACCCTGCTTTCATCTGCTGCTTCGCTCCCTAGTCCTGAGCGCGGGGCTGAGGGCTGGGGGAGGCTCTGGGGGCTGCAGGGATGCTCTCGCTCGGCGTGGCTCAGCCTTTAGATTACTTTACAAAAGCTGGCGTGTGGCTGATCAAAGCGGGTTTCTGTCGGATAACAAATGCAGATGGTCTTCTAGGTTTAAAACTTCCTGGATTTGGTGATGCTGCTTTTCATCTGTTTCCTTTTGTTTCTCTTCATGCTGTGGCTGCCACACAGCACCTTTGATAACAAAATACTCCATTGGAGAGGGTTTTTAAATCAAAAATAGACAAAGCAAATATAAAAAGCTAAGTATTCTTAAATGGTCCTTGTTAAATCGCTAATCTGGTAACTAAGTGGTGCTGGTAGGAGTTACAAACGGCAAGCAGAGAAATGCTGGGTTCGTGGGCACAGATCCTTTCTGAAAGGAAACCCTATTTGAGGATCACAGTGGGGCATTTCACGGCTTAAATTTGTGTTAATTTGAACTTTTTATTTGTTTCAGAGCTGAAATTTAAAGACTTCAATGTTAGAGGTATAAGTGTAATAAAGGGGGTGTATCTGGGGTGTATCTGCCTTAGAAATATGCCCTTTTCAGTCTTGTGTGCAAATTGCTGAGTTACATGTTTTAAAAATAAGTGTCTCCCTTGTGCTGCCACATCTCTTGGCAGGCTCCCTATGATGTCTCCAAGGTGGTGATAGCAAGACACACTGAACATCATTGCACTAAGATGAATATACAAGACAATAAAAAGGCAAACAGTGCTCTGAGTACCGTTAAGGTTGTGCTGCAGAGAGAGCTGAAGGCAGTGACACCAGACTGTGCCATGTGCCATCATGTCCTCATGTCTGTCCTTGTATTCCATTGGTTTCTGTCCTCCAGACGTGGTTTGCAAGTGTTTGAGCTCCTTTGCTCACTGTTGAGTTTGCACTGGCAGCAGCCAGGCCGGGGAGGGCACTTGGCCCCAGGTGTTTGTCGTCATCCTGTCCAGGTGGTAGCACTTACTGCCTAGTACACAGGTGGTGGTTCTGACTACTTTGGGGTACAAGTCCCCTGAACCAGCTGTTCCTTGTTCTCTTGCTCAGACACCACCCAGTGTTCAGTGTTCAGCTGGTTCAATGAGGAGGTGGTAAATAGATGTGTGTTCTCCTTCCAGTTTCAAATACTGTCCTGCTTTGGCAGCTGAACAAAAGTGGAAAATGCAAAATTGACACCATGGAATTGTATGTGGATAGAGCAGGGAGGATTCATTGGATTCCTGGTTTGGTAGGGACTGACCCAGCTATGTCTTAAATGGAAAGAAACCACTGGCAGGTTAGAGGGAAGGAAAGGCTGGCAGTAACATGTAGGAGCAATCAGTCATGTGTCAGTGCTGTGAATACTTGATCTGTCACTGGGAATGTGAGAAGTTGCATGTCAGAAATCAGCTGGAAATGTGACGTGATGTCTTGTCCCTTTCAGCAATGGATGGAGTGCCTTTTATGATTTCGGAGAAGTTTGCCTGTGCTCCTGAAGGGGTGAGTTGCCTTCATTGTTCTCCCAGTGTCTGAAATTCATTGTTTCATGGAAAGTGATCGCAAAACATCAACAATATTACCTGCTTCTGGAAGCTTTTCTGTTGTGGGGCCAAATATATAACCAGTGCTTGAGATGGGCCGAGGTTGCACATCACAATAGTTGCCCATTGGGTGGGAAGGGCTTTTGCCAGATCACTTCTAAAACTGAATTGTCCTGGGATTGGAAGATTTATTGCCATCAGAAATAGGAATGGCAATGGGACTCCCTGGTGCTGGAAGCATTTCTAATTTCTTAGCATAGATTGTAAAGAAAGCTGCAGATGTGGAGTTCTGGATTTGACCTGCCATGGGGATGGCATAGTGCCATCAGCTTTACTACTTTCCGTTGGCACCCCAGAAGTTCAGGGCAGTGGTAGTGGCAGGGTGCACCCCAGTGCTGGCAGCTGTTGGAGGCTCCTGCCTGGCTGCGGGGCGAGCTGGAGAGGGCACTGAGTGCTGCCTGCTTGGCACCAGGCACTGCGGGGCCACACCGGCAGAGCATGGCAGAGTGGAAACCCTGGTATGGGTTCAGAATGACATCTGAGTGTCACTGGACCAGTACTTGTTAAAGTTTATGATCCAGAGCTCAAAGATCAGCATCCCACTACCAGTTCCTGAATCCATCCGATGCTAAACCAGTATCTCTTTAAAAATCAGTTTGCAAGAAGCTGTTAAACCATCAGCTGTGTCTGATTTTTCAGTAGCACTCTGGCTTTGTGCTTTCTTCTTCCTGCTGACAGGGGGTTTTGCACAACCCTTGCTTTCTGAAAGGGTTGTTTATGGGCCGTTATTCCCAGAAAGATGGAGTCCCTGCTGCGAGGACAAATGCAGAGAGATTAGGTCGTGCTAATCCTCCCAGCGGATCCTTTAGACACCATTGCCACCATATGGTCAGTTTGGTCGAGGCTTCCCACAGCCAGTGCCTCTCACACCTCGCTGCTGCTGCCACAGAAGTCCATGGGGTGTTACAGACTGTGTCCTGCAGCGGGAGATGGTGGCAGATATCTCTGAGGCGGAGATGAGTGTCGGCTGTCCCGCTGAGGGAGAAAGGCATTGGAGCTGTTGGCCCCAACCCGCCGTCTGCTGCTTCGCTCTCCTGGTGCAGTGAGGAACAGGGCCATCCCTGTTTACAGATGGTGTCTCTAAGTCTCTGGTGATAGAGTGTTTGCTGACTTTAAACAAAACAAACCCAAAACAACAACTACTACCACCACCCACCTAAATTTGACATTGTTTCTTTGTTGCCAGATGCAGCCAGTTGATCTCTTGGGCATCACAATCAAAACCCTTGCAGAAATTGAAAAGGAGGTAAGTAGTGCCATCCAGCAGTGAGCAAGTCACAAGAGCTTTGTTTACTTAGTTGTAAGATACCTTCCCTTATGGAAAAGGCTTCTCTTGTCTTTCCCAAATCACTGAGGGGGGATAAAGTCAAGCAGTAAGCTCAGGATCAGGGATGTCCTCTGTAATCCGTGCTGAGTGAAGAGGCTTTAGGTGGTGCATCTAATGGCAAAGTTTGGGGCCCTCTGTTTAATTCCAGATGTCTGTCTTGGTTAACCTTTCTCATGAATTAACAACACATACTGCAGGCAGGAAGGTGCCTCTTGCATGTCAGGAAGGCAAATGGACTTGACTCAGCATTATCAGTGAACACCTTCATCAGTTTTCAGTTTGGTGATGCTGTTAAGTGGTTGTCAGGGGAACTGGGCTGTGTTTCAGTGGGTGTGAGTGTTTGAGGAGCTCCGGGAGGAGGCAGCCACCAAACCGAGGGTGGTCCCAAGGGACCATTCTGTCACATGGTGCTGAGGAGCTGCCTGCTCTGCAAAGGTGGCCTCACAGACCAGGAAGAAATTTGTCTCAGCAGCACGTACTTCTTCAGGCACCGTTGGTCACAAAGACCTTCTCCTGTGCCAGCCAGCTGGGTTCAAGGCAGAGAGTAACAAGATGACATCACAAAACTGCCAGACTGCTCAAAGTTTCTCCACTTTTTGATTCCAGTTGTGACTCCAGTTGCCTAAATCGATCCTCTTCTGCCTGGAAGTTTTGTCTGAGTACAAGAAGAAGGTGATCGGCTGCCAGGGCTTTTGCAGGCACGCAGTGGGCCTGCAGTGGTGGCTCTGGAGATGCTGCCTGACAGGGGCAGTGGCTGACAGAAGCACCCGTTGCCTCAGGTGCTGCGGTCCTGCCACATGGCACATGTGCTGTGCCTCTGCTCAGGACTGCCTGCGTCTGTCAGGAGGAGCCCTGGGAGCCCGGCGTGCTCAGGGCTGGCAGCCCCTCTGTGTGCCTGCCTCCTTCCTCGCTCTTGCTGGGAGCTGGCCAGGGAGCAGATGGTCTTTTGGCCAGAGGGGAATCCAAGTGGTGCTGGATTTGCTTCTGCAGCATCTCTGTGTGTTACCTGGTGTGGAAGAGGTCTGGCAGCTTGGGGGCTGCCTGGAGGGCTGGGCTGGGCTGTGCAGCCCTGCCTGTACCCTCACAGGCCTGTGGAGTGCAGGGACACCAGCATTGGAATCATTTGTGTGGGCCAGGGAAGAGAGGCTGATACCTGCTGGCTCTGCCACAGCTCCTGCTCCATCATAGGCTGTGTGCATTCCAGAGTAATGAAAAGTATGTTTATGCAGCCCATATTCCTTGATGAAGCATCTTGTCTGCACATAGAGAGCTACACATATAAATATTGTGAATTTCAGCATGGCTTTATTTCCCTTGCAAGCAATAGCACCATTACAGCAAATCTTCTGGATTTCCAAAGCAGCCAGAACATTCTCCCTGGAGCAAGATGCCTTGCAAAAAGTATTCCCAAAGAATTCCAAGAGTTATTGTTCTCTGTTGCCACATTTGCAGATGTATGCACCCATCCTCCAAGCTGCAGGCAGCTGAGTGACAGGACTCCACCCTGTCAGGAAAATGATGGAAATGGGCGCAAATCCTGGACTGCACCCAGGCTGCTCTCATTGCTCCAGGATGGCACAGCCATGCCCAGGGCATTGCGTGGAGATCTGGAGTATGAAGAGGTGGTGAAGCACAGGTGTGAGCGGTGCGTGCTGTTGCTCGTGGCTGCTTTGGTGGGCGTAGGATGGACAGCAGAGGAGCAGAGCCCTGGCAGCGCTGCCGCCGGCTCTCCCTGCGGGGCTGTGGGGCTTTGTCCTCACTGTTCCTGCCTGTCCTGGCTAGGGGAGCATCGCCAAGCAGGCACTTGGGCAGGTGCAGGCGACAGCAAAGGTGTCGGCACTGTCACTGCGGTTCTGCGGTGCCCGTGGCTGTGGCAGAGAGGGCAGTGGTCCGGCCACTCGTGGGGCACATCTCATCTTCCTTTGAGCTTGGTGTGGAGTAAAAAGTCTAGAGAGAGTCTAATTAGTAAAGCAAGCATCCAATACTCATCATTCCTTTTAAACTGACAGGGAAAGCAGTTCGTTTAACCACTGAATTGCTACAAGTTATCATGGGCTGCTCTTCACAAATATATTTAATGAAGAAGTTGTAAATCTAGAAGAGCTTAAAATTTTAATTTTCCACAGCAATATTTTTTCTTGTTCGCATGTTTGTAGTCAATTCTCCAGAGTGCAGTCACATGAAATGTTCTTTAAATGAACATATTTGCTAACTGGCATGATTTCAGTTTTTAAAACATTGGTTCCAGCAATTAGGAGTTTCCTCAGTTCCCCAGTGACTGGAGAGATTCGTCTTGATTATAATTGCTCTTAGCCACGCATATCTAATTTGTGTCTTTTTAAGTGTTAATTAGTAAACAGTTTGAGCTGACATCTTTATGCGTTTGGGTGTTGAAAAATGACGCCTATTGCGAGCGGCGCGGGGCGGCGTCGCGACAGGGAGGTGCTGCCGGAGGGTGACGGGCACAGCCCCGGGACAACCCCCGAGCCCCGGGACAACCCCCGAGCCCCGGCACAGCCTTGGCACAGCCTTGGCACAGCCCCCGAGCCCCCGGCACAGCCCCCGAGCCCCCGGCACAGCCCCCTCACAGCCCCCTCACAGCCCCGGCACAGCCTTGGCAGAGCCCCCGAGCCCCCGGCACAGCCCCCTCACAGCCCCCTCACAGCCGCCCCGCCCGGGGCCGCCCCGTTCCCGCCCGGTGGCGCCGCCCGGCCCTGCCCGGCGCGAAGCCGCGGCGCCCCCTGCTGGCCCCGCGGCGCCCCGTCCGCCGGGATGGGCCGGGATGGGCCCGGCGGGGCCGGGATGAGCTCGGCGGGGCCGGGATGGGCCCGGCGGGGCCGGGATGAGCTCGGCGGGGCCGGGATGAGCTCGGCGGGGCCGGGATGGGCCCGGCGGGGCCGGGATGAGCTCGGCGGGGCCGGGATGGGCCCGTCGGGGCCGGGATGAGCTCGGCGGGGCCGGGATGGGCCCGTCGGGGCCGGGATGAGCTCGGCGGGGCCGGGATGGGCCCGTCGGGGCCGGGATGGGCTCGGCGGGGCCGGTCCCGTGTGCTCGAGAGGAGCGCTGGGCGCTGCACTGGTGGTCTCCCAAGCTGGGACAGAGAGGGGATGTCAGCATTGGAGCAGAGGCGGCACAGCCCCGGCACAGCCCTGGCACAACCCCACCTTCTACTCAGATGGTGCAGACCTGGCACAGCCTTGCACGATGAGAACAATCCCAGCATGGCCCTGACACAACTGGCACAGCCCCAGCACAGCCACAACCCAACCCCGGCACAACTGGCACAGACCTGGCACAGCCTCAGCATAACCCTGGCACAACTGGCACAGCTCCAGCACAGGTGGCACAGCCCCAGGCCAGGTGCCAGCACAGTTGCTGGTTCCCAGGGTCACCTCACTGGCAATGTGTCTTGTGCCCTTGGCCGGCTGGCAAAGAGTGGTCCAAGGCCACAGGGAGATGTGTTTGTGACGTTCCAGGGGCCAGAAATGGGACACTGGGAGATGTGTGGGGGGCAGTCCCCATGTGAGGCCATTGCAGTGGGTGTGCTGTGGTCACGGGCAGCTCCTGCCCCGACAGCCCCCTCGCATGGCACTGCTTTGACTGCCCACCCACCGTGGGTGGGCCACCGCCACCTCGGCCTCTCCTGGGGTGCCCTGGCAGGGGCCAGGGTGGCCCAGGGCCTGCGGGGTGCAGCCACAGCGTGCCACGAGATGGCACTGCTACAGTGCACGCCAGGCGCTGCAGCTCCTGGGCTCCATGGCTGTGCGGGGCTGTCCCTCAGTTGCAGGGGTGTCCCTCGGCTGCAGTGACATTGTGGGGGTGCAGGGATGTGTATGTAGAAATTTTCACCCACCTCGTCAAACCAAAAATTTTAATTCTGATGGTACCGGCTTGTGTATAAAACCTGCCAAGAGGAATCTTTCTGAGTAGCTGCTTTATGTGCAGGATGAGTATGGTCATGTTTGTGTTAATGCTGGGTTTTGAGGGAGGGGGTAAATCCTACCTGGGGCGGTCACTGCTGTGGGGTCAGGTGATGCCGGCAGGCTCACCGAGTATGGCCCTGCTTGGGCCAGCTGCTGCCAGGCCCAGTTTTTACCACATTCTTCTGCTCCTTGTATCGTCCCACCCCAGGCATGAGCAGTGTGGCTGCGTGGTCACATGCCCTGGCCTGGGCTGCATGGGTCGGTGCCTCAAGGTTCCCTCTCTCTGCTTTGCCCTGCAGTACGACTACAGCTTCCGGACGGAGCAGAGCGCGGCGGCCCGGCTGCCACCCAGCCCCACCCGCTGCCCGCCGGTCCCGCCATCCTGAGGGGCCATCGGCCGGAGCAGGCGTGTGCGTGCATACTACTGAGCGGGACACAGGACACAGGACACAGTGCTGGGACCGTCCTGGCACACCTCCGTGCACCCGGCCACCACCGCCACCCTGCGCTGCACCACCCCCTGCACACACCGCTCCACGCGTTGGGACCCCCTTCGGCAGCTGCACCCCACACACTGCTGCAGACCCCTCTCCATGTGAGTACAGGACTGGGAGCCTTGGTCATCCCCACTTTGTAACTCTGCTGCAGGACAGTCACAGAATCCAGAGCTGTAGCAAACCCCTGCAAACACAGCTGGGAGCTCGCAGACCATCCAGAACTCTCAGCCCTGAAAGGAACAGTGAAAGGCACGGCTGGGTAATGCTGCCCAAGCTGCTGTGGAGCTGGTCGGCTCTCTATGCCTTGCGGCAGGAGGTCCCTGCGGCGCTCGGTCCAGTGGCAGCACTGAGCTGCAGCAGATGCCCCATCCCTCTGCCAAGGTCTGGGCACAGCAGTTCTGCCACAGCCAGGATCAGCCCCCCCATACACCCACTATAGTCACTGGATTTGCTGTAGCTGGGGGAGCTGGGGCCGCTGGCTCATGCCTGTCTTGGACTCTCCCTGGGCACCGGCAGGGCAGGGCAGGGCGGGCAGAGCGCCAAGGTGAAGCACCTCTGCTTTGCACAGGGTGTCCATGTGTCCATCCGGATCTAGACCAACAAACTCCTGTGTTTCTTTCCATCTGGATGCTGGCAGCACCACACTGGCAGACCCTGGCAGCACCCTGCTGACCCGGCCAAGCTGCCTCTGGAGCCAGGACCCTGCTGACAACTGGGATGCCATCACCTGCCCGTCACTCGAGACAGTTCTCTAATGTGCCCCGCTAGCTGCTAAAATAAAAGAGATGTGCCTGTTCCCTGGGCACTCCCAGGGAAGCACTGAACTCTGACGTGGCGCAGGATGAGAGTGGGATGCATTAAACCCTGACCTGAGCCCCCTGTGATCGCTGACCTGGGCTCACTCCTGAGCCAAATGCATGTCTTGGAGAAGTCTGTTGCTGTAATAAGTTATTTACAAGTGCCCATGTGACTCCATGCTGCTCTTTCAAGTCTCTGCTGTAAAACAAAGCTACATCATGGCAGCAAAATGGCAATTTTTGAGTAAGTGTTAAAACATACAATTTTTTATATTGTAAAATAGTGATTTCCTGACCCCACTGAAATGCAATTGCCATGGTAACAGTAACAGTGTTGTCTCTCAGCCTGGGTCATATGTGCACCCGGACCCGCTTTGCACTGCCTTGGATTGATCTGGCATTTGCTAGTTGCACAGAATGGTGACTGTCTGTGCAGGTTTTGTACTGTCAGCTTCTATTTTTTATTTGTACATATGTAAAATATTTCTTGTCCAAAGATTCATTTCTGGTTTTAAGGCACCGCACCGTACTGCTGGGATAATGAGCACAAAATACTGTAACATTCAAGACAAACTGAGTCCAGATCTTTGCTTCAGCTGCTTCCAATCAGGTAAATAATTTTCTGGAGCTGCCTCTGTAGAGCAGCCATGTGGTTGGAGAGCAGAGGCCAGTTTGGTTGCAGGTGTGTTAGTTTTGGGCAAAAGAGTTAAGGCTGTGCCATTTGCACCAGCTCTGGAGCCTCGCGTGACCCCCTGGAAGTGCTCGTTTACTTGGAGGTTGCAGCAACATTTTTAGTTGTTATTTATCCTGCCGGAAAGAAAAGCCAGACCTCACTGCCAGGCTTCACAAAGGCCAGATTGATGATGCCGACATCGACAAATGAACATACCATGGCAGCCTGGTCATTCGGCTCAGGTTCACTTGAAGTTCAAATCCACTCCACGCTGTAGTGCTGTACCCATCTCATCCATCTCTTGTCTGTCTGTTTTTCTGCTTGTAATTTGTTCTGTAGTTTTCTGTGACATCCATTTATAGCTTCTCCTGTGGCTCAGTGGTCACGGCAGGTAGGCAGGACCTGTCTGCAGCCGTGCATTCCTCATAGCTTTGGGATGAGAGCTGACCTTCCCCATTCCCAGTGGAGGAGTGAGGGCTGCAGGCGGCACAGAGCAGCCAGCACAGTCTGCAGAGCTCCAGGGGCAGTGCCTGCCACTGGGAGATGGAGAGGCCGCTGCCAGGAGCCCTTCCTCAAGCTGCCTCTTCCCGTGTGAGGGCAGGGCTGCCTGCACAGCAGCCAGGGGGCTCAGGGAGGAGTGGGTTCTGAGAGCGCCGAGCCCTGCACTTGGTGCCACACTCCCTGGGTATGCCTGGGAAAATGGGTGCAGAGCTTTGAGTCCCTTCTGTGAGATTTAGCTTAGAGATAAAATTGGTGCTTTAATGTTTTAACTAACTGTTAGGTTTGCTCAGCTGCCTTGGAGATAGTGAGCTCAGCCTGCTTTGCAGTGACCTACAGGAGACACTGGGTGCTTGAAACACTGGCAGGACATGTGGCTGGGACAGGCATCTACATCTTCAGGATATATTTGTAGTTACTTCTTCTCTGACGCTGGGCCAGCAAAGCTGCTCAGGGGTGCACCTGTGAAGAACCTTGAGAGGTGAGTTTGCTCTCCACAGTGCGATCCTGCACCATGGCACTGCAGGGACACCCTGTTCCAAATGCACAACAGGGCAGGTGCATTTCCTCTGGGCAAATGCAATCAAGGTGTTTGGAGCAAGAAGCTGCAGCTGCTGAGAGCCAGCTGAGCTCTCAGCCCTGCTAACCACAGGCTGGAAAACTGGGCGATTCCAAAAGGGAGAGGGCTCAGAGCCAGTGCTTGAAAGCACAGCGAGACACACAGTGCGGGGTGGTTGACTGTGTCAGCTTCTCAATCCACTGCTCAGAGGAAGCTTTTTTTCATTGCACCACTGAGTTCCCAAGATCCAGAGTGTCAGGTCAGCATTTCCATGGGCAGGTTTTATTGGCTATTCCATAACTTTTGTACTCCCAGCAGCTCATTGCAAGGCTGGTCCTTGCATCCTCGCAGTGAGTCCTCCGTGCTGGCAGGTACCATGGCCAGTATGAGCATCTCTCTGCATCTTCCTCCCTGTCCGAAATGCGACTGTAGAAGTATTGGCCCAGGCAATAAATGTTCAGGGAGCCTGATGCGGATGTTGTCTGGCTGTGGAGAAGTCTTCTGGAGCACAAGGGGAGGGGATGAGTCAGTGGAAAGCAACAGAAGTGGATTTGCAGAGCTTTACCAGATGTGCTTGGCTACCTTGCCTGAATTTGTAGAACAAAACTGCTCTCTAGGTAGTTCAGTCTTGCGGCTGATGGAGAAGTTAGTTTGCCAAATTATCATATATCTGCAACAGAGACAGAAAAGCAGCAATAAGGGGTTTGCTTACTGTAAAATACACCTTCTGATGTGAATTCATAGTGACATGCTGCCTCCTGGATTCCCCACAGCAAGAAGCTGGTCACGTGCCAAGGTGACTTGTGCCCACCCAGGCCGGGCTGTGCTGTCTGCTGTGTTAACCATAGAAAGGCAAGAAATTAGAACAGAAAGTGACGTAGAGTGTGAACTTTGTGATAAAATTCAAGTGTGAACAGTTGTAGTGGGTGTGTCCCCTGTGGGAGCACCTCGTAGCCGTAGTTCCGTAGGAGTGAACTTTGTCAGACTGTTCCTGTGGCTGTCCCTGCGTGTGCCTGCAGTGTTTGTCAGAGGATCCCTGGGAGCCTCCTGTGCAGTGAGAAGTTGCTGGTAGTCTGTAGCCTTGGGCTTGTTTGGTTTCACACCCACCACTGCTCCCTCAGTGTTCTGAGCTCTCCAAACTGAACGTGCACACTGCTGAGCCTGGAGATTTCCCTGCATGGGCAGGCACGTGCCAGGCAGATGCTAGTGGCAAGGGCATACATCTGCTGACCTTGGAATCTCCTCTTCTGTGGGGCCCTGAGATCTCCTGGGGGGAGGGAAATCAGGATGTGGTGCCTGCAGAGCTGGCTGGTCCCATGTTGGCCCTCACCTCCCTGCTGCCCCCAGGGTGACATAGGGTCTGTCTCCCCAGATGTGCCCGTGGCCTCTCCCACGACAGCCCCAGGAGCCCAGAGAGGTGTTCCCACTCCTCCTGAAGGGCAGGCACGTCTTGCTACATGCGGATAATTACCTCAGCCTTGGAGCCTTGACTAACAGCCGGGAATCCCTGCCAGCAGTGGGAATCCCGGCAGGGCAGCCCAGCGGTGCTGGTGTCAGTCATCCCGAGCCAGATCCCCCTGGCTGTGGTGCAGGGAGGAGGGGAGGCTGCTCCCCTGCTCACAAACGAGCTCAATGAGGTGCTGCTCAGTTCATTCACCACAGGGAAAACAAACACTTTGGATATTCTGGTCATTTGTTACAAAATTGTTTCCTAACAGCAACAGATTTAAATGTCATCATGCAAAAGGCAGAGAAGAACCTTTTATGCAGTTGCAAAGTGGTTTTCTAAGATGGTTGGGTTATTGAAAGTGATTTTACTGTGCATTAATCTTATGAATGTTACTATGTTTTATATTTATTTTAGATGACCCTCCTGTATTTTACAAAGGGAAGTTTCATTCTGTGATAACTCAGTCTGTATTCTTAATATAATTTGTTAAATGAAACTTGTTTTAATCAGTTTATTCTCTGTGCTTTGTGTTTTAATTTTCTGACTGAAATAGCTACCTGGATTGGAATGGTGAATTGCAGGGATGGCAGCACAATCCCCTGTAGGGAACATGCTCTTGTTTTGGGTTTTTTGTTCTTGGAAATTGGATATAAAAACCCTTGGAAAATCTGTCTATAATGTCTTGCTCCAAAGGTATGCTGCGAAGTCAAAAATAGAAGTCAACCCAGCTCAATTTAAGTGTTTTATGGGGCAGGACGGGGCAAAACCTGGCAAAACCAGTCCTTGGCACAGGGATGGTGCCCGTGGCAGTGAGGGCAGCGCTCTGCTTGGGGCAGTGCCCATCCCATCAGCTCTGCCCACGGCCACCTGGTCTGGGCTGCGGTGGCCACGCTGGCATCACTGTGGGCAGGTGGGCACCCCCACGGGGGAATTGGCTGCTCAGCCAGGGAGAGGCCAATACCACACCACTACACTGAAAATTCTTATTCTTTATGCTAAATTATTCTTCTGAACTTGACCCCGGCTGGTGGTGCACAGTCTGACCTCTGGCATCTTCTCACCCCAGCCAATATTTCTGTCTCACTTATTTTGAGTGGTCTTTGAATTAAGGGAGATTAATACCCGAGTTCCCGACATTCTCTTCAGGCACATGTTTTTATAACCTTTTGAAAGCAGTACCACTTGTTCCACCAAAAGCTGCAGCAGCGCCCTGGAGCTGCCGTGGGAGCCGTCACTGGCACCTGATTGAATGTTCTGCCTGGGGAGGAGGTGGTGTGGGGAGGACATAAACCAGAGTGGGCCCATCCCACGCCAGCCTGTGGCTTCCTGGGGTGGCAGGTGGGCACAGAGCTGCCCGGAGCCATCCCTGTGCTGGTGGGGCCTGTGAGCATCTCCGTCCATCTGCCTGCTCCGCTGCTGCCCCTGGGCACGGGCTCAGTCCTGGGCACGGGACACTGGTGGGGCTGCAGACCCAGTGCCTGGGAATGCTGCTGAGCTTCCAGGCCCACTGGCCAGGAGGACCCTCATCCTCCAACATGGGGTGGGACAGGAGCTGGCTCACATCATCCATCATTCACAGAATTTGGTTTCTAAGGAAAATTTCTAATTTCTTCTGCTCTGCTTAGTGTTTTCAGCCATGGGAGTGGCCATTCCTTTCCAGTGAGGTGTCTCCTGGCCATTCCTGCCCCCGAGGAAATCCTCCCAGTGCCCAAGGGGAGCAGCCCGTGTGGGACTGGAGCTGGCTGGTGTGGTCCCTGCAGCATCAGAGGGTTGTGTCAGGCTTTGTGTGCCGGTGGCTTTGGTGGTGTTTGTTTTCTTTTCTCCTCTCCCTCCTACAGCTTTAAAAATTAACTTGCCTGGGGAGTTTCTTAAAATCCTTTCCTTTCCCTGGAATGATGGATAAGCCATGTAACTGATTGTCATGGCCCTAGAGAGGATAAACATCTTCTGCAGTTTAAAATAAAACCTCCTCACTCCTTGGTTAATAAGTGTTGAAAGAAGCACAAACAGAGCTAACATGGGATTTCCATGACTAACAAGATGACCACATCAGTGAATGTTGTTTGGGGTTAAAAATGACTCAGCTTTTGCTTCCCCTGGGTAAGATGTTTTATCCCAGCACAGGAAAAGCTGCCAACAGCACTTTGAAGCTCTGGCAAACCCGACGGAGCCGGGATTGGGGACTGGGAAGTGTTTGAATGCCTGGTTAAAAAAACCCTCCTAAACTCAGCTCCATGTGTGTGGATTTCTGGAAGATAAAGGAGCCCACAGCTTCATCCAGCCTGTGCTGACTCTTTTCTTTTCAAAAGCCTTGTCAGATGTTTTCACTTTTCTTCTTGCTTTGTTGAAAGATGTAAAAATTTAAGACAACCACAAAGTAAACATTTCAAAACTTTCTATTCTGAAAATTAATGACATTTTCAAAATCCCTCAAATTCCATTTCAGCACTATCAGAAATGAAGATGTTTGGGGTTTTTTTGGTTGGCAAATTTTCCAGGCAGGTTTTTGTTTGTTGATAACTTTTATTTTTCAAGGAAAATAGATTTATTATTCAGTAGAAACACTAGATAAGTAGATGTCTTGTCAAAATCAAGCAGGTTTTCTTTATTAGAGTGAAATAGTAATGAACTCATCTGCTTCCAATATTTATAAAGAGTAGAGAAGGCCATTAATTCTGCTGCTTGTGAATAAAACCATCTGTGATTTCTTTCCATTTGATGTGTTTTGGTTTTAATATACATTTTTCACAAATAAGTGCAGGGAATTTTTGTGAAAATGTCACATTCAGAATCTCATAAAGAAGGAACGCAAGGAGGGGGAAACGAAATGTTTTGTTAGCTAAGTAATTTCTCACCTTGCACAGAGAGTAAAATTCCTGCCAACTTTAACACATTAGGCGACAGAATTACATGTTCAGCTCTAATGCGATCCATGACATGGAACAAGGCAAACAGAGGATGTTTGGAAGTTTGTTTTCCTTTGGGAATCACACAGCACATTTAACCTAATCTGTCCTGACACTTGAATTATAACATTATGAGCTTCTTCAGGGAAGCAAAATGGTAGATGCCTCTTTTTAAAGCAAAGCAGAAGTTAATAAAACAGGCGACATGTCAAGGAGAAAAAGCCCGAATGAACCATCGTGTGATTCTCGAGGAAACGGGCTCTGGGCTGGGGTTTTTCCACCAGAAGTGCTGGAAGTCTCGTGACACACTTCTGCTGAGGGTGAAATTCGACCTCCAGGATTTTACTCGATTAAACCAAAAGCTGCGAGAATGCCCCAAGTGGGACCACTTTGTAGTTGGACTTGTGAGTGTGGGATCTTAAATTAAACTGAGTATTCATCCAGCTGCTCTGCCAGGAATTGTTTCACAGTCTTCCCACCAACTCGTGCGATGGAGGCTGTGCTGTGCTGCCTTTCCCAAACGGTACCTGTGCAGGTGAAGGAGTTGCTCCCAGCCCATACAGCCCAGCCCACCCTCCAGGGCAGCCTCTTTGAGGGGCTGGAGTGGGAACGGGACTGTAAATGTGATCTGCTCACTGTCCCCGAGAAAGTCTGGCTCCAGTTACAGGTTTTAAGGCTCGAATTTAGTGTCCATTGTCCAGCAGGATGGAAGCAGATCCTCGGAGGTTCCTGCAAGTGATGAAACCTGAAATCAAATAGCAGATGTCCTCACCCAAAGTCCAGAGCTCTGGGTGCTACAGAGCAGGGCAGGCACTCTCCTGGGGAGGGAAAACTGATGCCAGTTATCTCTGAAAAAATGAGTAAACTGATTCTCAGCTACCTGTTGGCAGAGGTAGGAAGGGGCTGCGCTCTTCTCTCGGGAGTTTTCATATCTGTGCCAAGCAGGTGAGCCCGCTCACTGGTTTGCTTATAGTTTATAGTTTTATAATTTAATCTGGTGTGGAACTAGAAAGATAGTAATTGTCCCAAACATTTTTTTCATCAAATTGAACAGCACTGTCATCTGGGCAAAGAAACAAAGTTTGATTTTCAACTTCAAAAAGTTTACAGGCAGTTTCCAAGCACAGGGCTGTGCCTTGGGCTGGGTTTGGGTGGGTTTGTGCAGGCTCCACATTGCTGCCCTGGGCCATGGCTGAGCGCTGGGGAGGGATGCACTTCCCTGGCAATGGACCCACAGCCCTCCATGGGCCCCTCCCCTCAGACAGAAGCACTAAAATGCTGGGTTTAAATGGTAATGAAGAAAATTCACACTGGATATTAAGGAAACTACCTAAAGGGGAAGCATGTGAGGCCCAGGAGGGCGGTGTCCATCAGTCTTTGCCAAATACATGTTGGGAGCAGGGGAGGTGAGGCTGAACCTCAGCAGTGCCCAACAGCACGTCCCTCCTCCTGCAGCTCTGCCTTTCCTCAGGGAGCACACCAGTGGCTGTTCCTACACTCATGGCAAAGGGTTGGGATTTGGGTTGTCTGGGTTTGCTGGGAGCTGGGGGAAGGTGCCTCCCAAGTCACTGAAGTGTCAAGAGAACGGAGCCCGAGAAGCTGATGTGCCAAAAGGTCATCTCAGGTTAATTCCCTGCCAGGGGAACACTCCAACCAGGAGTGTCTGAACACGGTCCTTATTCAAAACCAGGCAAGAAGCCCATGGTGGCTGTTCCTGGGGTGTCCTGCAGGAGCACAGTGGGAGTTCATTGCGATGCCTCAGGTGAAAAGCAGAGGGTGTGAGGTGAGCAGAGGCAAGTGGAGGGGAAGGGTAAGAGTGACTGGGCTGGCCCCTTGCCAGGGATGGTCGTGGTGGTCGCTGTTCTACAGTGACAAATATGAGGATCCGTTTTCACGAGTTTGGAGGCCACAGAGATGGCTTCCTGCAACTTACTGTGCCCTGAATTACACAAAGACTTTCTGTCCATTCCACCTACACGTAGGCCTGTTCCCACAGTCCCCAGCAGTGACCTGTCACGGGTGGCAGAAGCCAGTTGATGTACTCAAAGCCCTTAATGCAAACTTTTCCCCTGTTCTTTTTTTAATTCCTTTTTCTGCCCAAATGCCTACATATATGAGGCTTTTAGGAACTTAATTATCCTTGAGACTTCTACCTCTTTGTGAAATCTGGTTTAAATCAGTAAAGAAAAGAGTTCAAAGTTATTGGGCAGGACAGGCAGACAGACAAGCACACAGGGATCACAGGAACCTTGTTTTCATAGGAAACTAGATTAAAAAAATCCCACAGCGGTTACCAGCCCCTTCAGTGGCACCCCCCCTCAGTCCTGCACAGGGTGATGCTTGGGGGGGGGCTGGGGCACAGGCAGCCTGGGTTTGTGCTCTTTGCAAAGGGGAGGGGGCTGGGAGCAGATCCTGCCTCCTTTAGCCGGGGTTTGGTGGGCGGTGTCAGGGGCAGCAGCGATTCCGCAGCCTGTCTGCTTTTCCCAGCTGGATGCAGATTCATGACATCCCTGCTCACTTTGGCATGCAAACCTGTACCTAATTTCTTCTGAAATGGGCCCTGAGGAAGTCAGCAGATGTTATTATTAAAGCATTGAGCATCAGCAGC